TTGAGACGTTCTGGGCTATCACTTTTTTCTTTTTTTTTTTTTTTTTCCTTTTTGTTTTTTGTTTTTTCCTTTTTTTAACTTTTTTTTTACCTCCCAAAAGGGGGCCACCCCCCCCCCCCTTAAATCCGCCTCTGTCTGACAACTAATTTTTAAAAAGCTAAGCTAACAAAACTAACAAAAGATGAAATTCAAACTAATAATTGTTATTATTATTAGGAAGAATTTACTGTATATACTGTAGCACCTTTATAAAAAAAAGGATGAAAGCACTATACACATTCAAAATACAAAGCTAAGTGCAATGAAAAATCGGTCAATAAAAATGATCCTCCCCAGATGCTCCCCAGCAGACATACAGACGTCGTTGACGTTAAAATCAGGTTGAGATGTTGATCAACCTTAATCCAACGTCTATTTTATGTTGATCCAATCCACACCCGTCGATTCAACGTCCTGATATCAACGTTGATTCAAAGTTGTAATGTGGTCGGTGTCAAAAAACAATGTTGCATCAACGTTGAAATTGGGTCAGTCTATTCAACATTGATTCTCATCGTTGCCACAATGTCATGATGTGACGTTGGTTCCACGTTTTACACCAACGTTGAAATTGGGACAATTCTCGATGTAGATACATCGTGGCGTTCATTCAACGTTGAACACTGACGTTGAAACTACAGTATGTCAATTACTGAACAATTTTGAAATTCAATGTTGATTCTCGTCGTTAATACGTGGTGAAGTGACGTTTAAATTATGTCAGTTGATACAACAATCAGAATTCAACTAATACTCAACGCCGATTCTGTAGGCCTAATCGCGGATCAAACGAAGATAATCTAACAATGTTATCTAATGGAAAATGGAATATTCCATTTCTTCTTACCAGCAACACCATGAAGATGGACGACTGGTAGTAGATCACTTCGGCCCCAGACGACACTGTGATATATTTCGGTGAATGATATAACATACGGTAATTAAAATACCCATTAGAGCCCATAAAAAAATTATTAGTTTATCACCCTATCAAAGAGTAAAAACTGATGAGGGAGGAAGGCTTTTTTTTTTTTTTTTTGCTAAAACCCTGCCCCCATTTTACTGATATTCACAAGTAAATCAGTGGTTAGAGACACATATATAAAAAGTCATAAGAATGGAATCATATTTATATTTAAAAAAATATGTTTTCATTGTACCAAGTAAACATATTTGCAAGAAATTTGAAGTTTAAAATTGTTTCAATACAATAGTATTTTGCAGAGATCATTCTTTTCAGAAAGCTTCTATACTGTAACCAGTTCAGTATTCGACCAGTTAGTCAAAATCCAGTTTTCGCTTTTTTTTTTCTTTACAGTCTGTCTGTATGTATATGTATGTATGTATGTGCATATATATGTGTGTGTATGTGTGTGTGTATAATACAGTATATGTCCTTTTATACTTAATCATTGTTTACTTCCCAACAATTACTCCGTCTGAACATCGATGATTTACACATATCTTGGGGGTCATGACCTAAAGTCCTCCATCCATACTGATTTATACTTACCTTTTTCTTATAACTTACATAAGAAATCGTTATTGTAGGCATAAAACTGAAACTTTTATAACTAACACTAAAAAGTAAACGTTAAAATTTAATACAGTATAAACAATAATAGGCCAACTCAAAATTGAATTCAAAATTCATTTTTATTAAAATACACCAACTAACAACAAAAACTGAAACCAAGTCTATGATAGACTGCATTATGTGCGCTTTAGAACGTTTGTTTTAAGGATTCTGGCACTACATAAATTATTTCGATTTATTGATTGAATGGAATATAATGATTTGTTATCTTAAACATTAAAACTAATTCAAGTTGAAACAAATCTAATTGTATCTTAAAGGCTCTTCAATAATTATTTCAATACGTAATATCTCTTTTTTTTTAAATTTGTATTCGATATCAAGGAAAATTTTCTACATACATAGGCCTATATTGTCTTCCAATCGCATATAAAAATAACAGAAAGTTCTAAAACTTAATTCTTAAAAAGCCAACAACATAAAGTGACTGCTATATCACTGGTACAGTAAGACGTCAGTGAAGATGGACTCTAACATTGCACATCCACCAACAATATATAAGAACCAAGTCTTGCTTTCATGTAAGTCGCCAGATTTAATAAAACGTATCTGAAATTAAGTAAAGCATACCACTATACAATATAAACATTACTATAATAATATTTGAAGTGTTATACATTTTGAGGTACACAACATATTAAAAATGAACGTTACTCTGAATAATGAAAGGGGGCCATGACTCAACGTTTCGAATCATGACCTTCCTCTCATTGTTCAGAGTAATCTTCACTCTTTGTCATTTAAACATAATCAATGCATCTGTTGGTTTGAGGTACACACACATTAATAAAAACAAATAAACATGTATTGTAACTAAAGCTTTTAAAAATAGAAAAGATTGACAAATACGGTAGTCAAATAATGCAAGCATTATGAATTGACTTTTCTTGATGCAGGAGGAAACGCCAATTTTGTTTCATGCAGGAGTGCTGGAGGCAACACCGATTTTGCTTGATGCAGGATTGGGGGAGGCAGTGTCAATTTTGCTTGATGCAGGATTGGGGGAGGCAGTGTCAATTTTGCTTGATGCAGGATTGGGGGAGGCAGTGTCAATTTTGCTTGATGCAGGATTGAGGGAGGCAGTGTCAATTTTGCTTGATGCAGAAGTGCGGGAGGCAGCGCCGATTTTGTTTGGTGAATGCAGGAGTGCAGGATGTGCAGTGCAGGCAAAAAGTGCACTGCACAAAACACTGTGCTAAAATGGAAATTGAATATTCAGAACTCTTAACCAAAATATTACTTTCCAACCAAAGTGTGTGTGAGTAAACAATCTATACATTAAATATAATTATGAATAAAATAACATACCAAAAAAAGCTCGATGGCAACAAATCCAATCAAACTTAATCCAAGTAGGAAAAAAATGAATCCATGAGATTTGGTCTTTGCTCCTTGCACAATGCTAAGGATAATAGAAATCTAAGCAAAAAAAAAAAAAAATGGAATGTACAACAATACAAAAAATAATAATCATTCTTTTGAACTGTTCAAATAGCAACACAAGCAATCAACTTCCCTTTGAATTTAAAATTTACAATTTCAATTTTCATTCTAAATTCATGAATTCCAAAGCAATATAACATTTGAACTTTTCTTTTTTGTGAAGTCATAGAAGAACACACTTTGTTCAACAGGTATTCTTCATTATCATAACATAGTTGATTTTTCTTAAGTGTTGGCCTAGTGTTTTAATGTATTGATACGTATATTTGGAAACAACTGATGGAATTTAAGCAGAATTAAATTGATTTACCAATCGCATCAACCATCATCGGCATTATATCACAATGCATTATATAATTTAAAGTATGAATAAAATCCAATTGATCACTTTCAGAATGTATCAAATTCCAATTTGGAACATTACTTTTAAAAAAAAAAACCATGTGTAAATGGCAGAACTTACTAATACTGAGATTGTTACCACTCCAACAAAAGCAAACATTGCCTTTTTCTGTAATAAAAATATTCTAAAATTGTAAAAATATATACTGTATAAAAAAATAATTACATTAACAGTTCTGACAATATTTTACAGTGGATATTTTTCTATTTCCCGCATTGTTCCCAAAATAAATATAATAAAAATACAAGTAGGTCTACTTTACAATATCTCAGAAGAATTAAAGTACTGTAAATGAAAGAGAATAATGCAGTTAAATATTTTATAGAGTACAATTAAACACTTAGGAGGAACACAAAGAGGAAGTGTAATTAGGATATATGCAAATAAAGACTTAGTAAAGTACAGTACACGAAAGAAATAAATGTCACAGTAGAATACATGACAAAATGAATTCAAGTAAAAAATCAGGACTCCAGCATCCCATAATGCATCTGAGTTCTTACATCTTTTGATATGTTGGAGCCATAGTATGTGTTATTGCCTTCTGATGCTGAACTGTTGTATTGAGATTCCCCAAATAATGATGTTTTTTCATCGGCCATATCTGAAACGGGAAAAAAAACAATGTTTGGTTTTGTTTATTTGACCAAAATAACAAAATAAATACAGAAAAATGGTCGGGGCAGCTTAAGCAAATGAATCACTGCCTACAGCTGACTTGAATATAATATCATAAAAAAAAAATTAAGCTTTTTTTCCGCTGTCAGATAAACTGTTATTTATTAATTTTAAGTTGGTTTTGTGATCCGACTTTAGGTTGAGTCTTTGACACGAGTTGTCTAGTTGCTGAGCTGAGCTAGAGATTTGGATCCGACATTGTCTGAAGTGATTCTTAGCTAGGCCCTAGTCAGGGCCTTTGACTAACTACAGCCTACCTTCCCTTCTTGCATCTCATTTGATATTCTAATAAGTGCAATAATTAAATAATTATTTTGTTGCTACGGTTAATTTCCTCAAAAAACCTAGTGAACTTACTTACTTACTAAGAAATTTTTAAGCAGGAATCAATAAGATAAGGAATTCTTCACTCCTCGCTCTCCGAGAGTGGAGCAACATATTGTTTACTACCCAAGTCACCTGATAAGAGTCATGTGAGGTTGTCTGGAATATCCCTTTGAGCCTGGCCAATCAGATTCTTGTATTTTGCAAAGGGAATCCTGACCTTGAACCTTGTTATCAGTACACCATGAACCAGCGACCGTGAAATACAAAAGAAGGAATGAACTGGTTCTGGTTGTTTGCAGAGAAGCTCGCAGAAAGATACACTTTTCAAACATAAATTGTAACGTATCAATCAATTATGTGTTAACATATCAGGAGTTAAATAGTTAGTCTAAGACCTGTTGAACTAAAAATAAGCCTAGGCCTAAGTAAGGCTTTTATATGCTAGGCCTACCTAGGCTAGGCCTAGGCCCTTTTTATTTAGGCCCTAGATAGCGCATAGGCCTGGGCCTAGCCCTAGGGCATTACAGATGGATGGGTCTAGTCGGGCGACCGCCGGGCCAGCCTAGTTAGCTTCCTACCTACTTAAGTTTAAGGTCATGCCTGCCGGTAACACAGCAGGTAACACTTTGATCTGGTGGGCCTGTTGTGAGAACGATTGGGTCCATTTTACATTTTTAACACCCAATTTCAACTATTTAGTATTTCCCGACGAAAACTTCATTTGTCTTGCCTAGGCCTGGTGTTGTGTATTCGGTGGCCTCTTTGGCGTTCCATACATTTGGCGCGGCTGCCGGAATGATCGAGCATGGTGGCGCCAGGAGGATTTGGCTGACGAGGGTCCGAGGTGCCCGACGAAATAAAAGTGGGTGTGGTCGGGCGTCGCTCAAAATATGTCGAAAATGTTCCAGGGGCGAAGCAAAAAGTATGACAACATGGTATTACAGTGACCTAAACGAATACAGATCATTTCGGTCGCGGTTCACAGCCGCGCTATGGAACGCCGATGTACAAGCTAGCTTATTTACAATGTTTTTCAAAAGTAAATTCGGTAGTGTGCTAAATAAATTTTACTTTGTATTCGTTTCAGTTTCAGATAATAATGCTCTTGATAGGAGGATGAGTGTTTGATTTAATTATTATTTATGGTTTTTTTACGATTGTTATTGTTTTGAAATGAGTTTAAATTTTAGCATTTTTAAGTACAATTATACAATTATCTCTCCTAAATATATATAAACCATACCTTTTATAACATATCTTTTTTATTTATTTATTTATTTCTACAAAACACCCGAGGGAGAATCAATATTTACAGAACAGCGTATTAAAAACCATCAAAAACAATACAATTAAAATGGTGATAATAAATACTATCAAAATCATTACTACATAAGAGATATTTGACACTGTCACATAATATACATTGATTTAAACAATTATTTTTAAAATACAACTTAAAATAAAAAATAGATTTAATGAAATAATGATCAATACAAGAAAATTCATTAACAACACGAGAGACAAGTGTACCCTTAATCGAAGATGGTCCATTATTAAACTAGAACTAAAGATTGGCGATATATATATATATATATATATATATGTATATATATATAAGGTCGAATTGAAAGCATTTTATTAGGTAGGACCTAAATTAATGAGGTAACAAGAGTGCTCCGACAAAATTTTGATTGCCATACATTAAAATACATGTTTTTACTTAACAATTTATAATTTTAAACTAGGTATAAAAAAAAGTCAATCTTAAACATAAATGAACCACATTTTAACATATTTTGTACATATGTTTTTATTTTAACAATATATAATTGAAAACGGTATGTAAAAAGAAAATACTGTAATACAAATTGATGCTGAAATAAACTGCATTACAATTAGTCAAGAAGTAGTAAAATAAAAAATGACTGTTTTCGTGCTTAACAAACGGCAGGCCTAGACCTATACTGCTTAGGATATCTTCTTATACATTCGCGGTTGCGCCTTCGGAACTACATACACAGCGACCGAAATGCATAACCAAAATAGCACGACCGAAATGCAGGCGCGACCGAAATGATCAGATACCACCTTAACCTGCCCAAGCCTGTATGTTTTTATATTGAACAAGGCGATACATTTGTACACATGCGTTTTAGGTAGCACATTTTATTTTTTTATTTATTTATTTTATTTATTTTTTATTTCAACAATATTTTGTGAGGGTGGTCCATCCAGCTTGAGCTGATCAATTGGGACCCTCAGTACATACAATTAAAACATAAGTATAAAAATTAAACTTGATCTTTAACATAAGCAAATTAATTAAATTAAACCAGGAAAAAATTAATAATAATAAAAATAATAAAAAAAGATATAGGCCTACAGTATATAAATTATATTTAATAATGATTTAAGGAAAACATTAAAAATTAAAAAAAATAAAAATTAAAAAAATTGACATAATAAAAAATAAATCAAAAGAATTAATGAGAAGATAATTAATTGAACTAACAAAATTAGAAAAATTATAAAAGATTATAAAAGATAAATAATTTACAATTTAAGACAGAACAAAATCACGATTAAAAATATTGCAACAAAAGGAGATGGCCACAGGGAAAATTACACAAGATTGGATGAAAGATAGCTAAGATGGTTGGATTTGAAAGAAGAGAAAGAGAAAGTAGAACAGACAATCGGTGGAAGAGAGTTGTAGATGTAAGGAGCATTATAGCTGAATGAAGTTTTAAAGATTTCTAGATTAGGCTTAGGAATGAGAAGATCGCCTTTAGTGATTTTTCTTGTGGTCATACGGCTATTGGCAAAGAGTTTGTGGAGCAAGGTTATGAACAGCAGAGTTGAAATTGAAATCGGAGTTGAAGGGGAAGGGTATTAGCAGATCTGAAATGAGTGGGAGTAAGGTGAGTGGTAGGAGGAAGTTTCAGTAAGATACGAATGGCTCTGTTCTGGATCTTCTGAACTTTAGATAATGAGGTAGATTTTGATCCCCAAACTGAGCAACAATAGTCAAGGCGAGAGAAAAACAAAGAATTTTAAAGTATTTGAAGGGTAGAATCATTAGTAAATTGTGAGGTTCGTGCAAGAAGATAGACAATAGAGTTAAGTTTCTTACAAAGAGAAGATGTGTGAGACTTCACACATGCGTCGCAAACGTCTGTATGTCCTGCACAACAAAATCTTCAGGAACTTGGAAGCCTGCCGAAGGTGGAGGCCAGCCCTCTCTGACAGGGGGAACCTGTCCCCCGGCCCCCCTCTGCTGGCGCCTCCCCTGTCATTAGACGTTGCTAGGGCAGAGCATTTTTACTATTTATTATTATTTTTTTAATTGACCTTTATTTTTAAACATCATTGACGAGATGTAGGGTACTAGCAGTGGCAGCGCCAGCGGAGGGACGGGGGGCTAAAGTCCCCCCCCCCACCGGACAGGTCAAGCCCTGGACAGGGCTCGTCGGGCAGTCAGACCATAAAAAATATAAAAATAGGCCCACACCAAGCCAACACATGTCTGTCACAGTCTGAGAGTGCCATTTCCGGCCATC